GGGGAACCAAAGACGGACACCAGTCCCTCTCTCCAGGAACCTTGCAGGCTAGTCTAAGTAGAGGGAAAGCAGGGCAGGTATGTGGAGGTCATCCCCACAGCAGTTGAAGGGGGCTCCCTGGAGGAGATGTGCAGAAGCTGGCGGAGAGAAGGCGGAATTTCAACTTAGGATAGTTAGCCTTGCTGCTGACAGTCACACACACACACACACACACACACACACGTGCACATGCATGGGCACGCATACACATAAATTCACATGAAATAAAACACCTTTATGTCTTCCAGTGGAGGTGATTGCTGTGGTCTTCAGGAAACCTCACCTGGCTTAGTTGGGGATGATACTGTGTTCTAAATTTTGAGTTGGACAAACACAAATAGCCATTTGTACCAATCTGAGTCTTCTCAGTAAAGATGTCATTCCAATGATGAATTATACCAGTTTATTTTATCCCTACTCCCCATAATGAAGAAGTACTTGTAATTCCTTCAAAGAAGAGGGTCTGTGTTATCTATTGCCTCCTTTGAAACCTGGAAAAGATGTTCCAGACGTTGCCTGTGATTCTGCTACTTCGCCTGCCTGGGCTTTACTATGCCATGAATTCTGAGCTTGGCCCACAGCTGTGAATTCATCTTAAACTATGTGACGGTTGACACCTTTGACCCAAACGTGACTATTCTGACTTTGTGTCACAGCGTCCTTGTCTTCATTTGATTGTGGGAAGCCTAAAGTGGAGCCCAAGAAGTGTTCTGGAAGAGTGGTAGGAGGGTGTGTGGCCAATGCTCACTCCTGGCCCTGGCAGATCAGTCTTAGGACAAGGTAAGGACATTCTCAAAAACAGCTTATCCATCCTTCACTGAGAGCCCTCAAACCTTCCCGACAAACCCGTGGTACTGAGACATCCACACCTGCCTCTATTCTTCTAAGGAGAAAACAAAGCTACACAATTCTTTTTTTTTTTTTTAAATTCTGGGTTTTCTACTTTGAAAGTGGCTCAAACTGGATTAAAACAAAACAAAACAAAAATAAACACCCTCTGGTATGTTATCGTCAAAGTCTGTAGACACCATTGTCTACAGCAAGCTCTGATATTGCTGGAAAAATATTGAAGACGCTTCTCATGGGTTTGTATGGATACCATCGGCTCATGGTAAAATGAAAAGAAGGGAATTTTTTCAGAAATGTGACCCTTTGGCAGTGGGCAAAAACAGAATTATCTACAACCTATCAGGCATCCAAACTTAAAAAAAAATACTTTTGCACATTTTTGCAAGTCTTGAATTTGAGGCAGGGACTGCTCGCCCATTCACAAATACGTGACTGAATTATAGTCTGAAATCACCAAAATGTAGGGCTCTCTTTTCAGTTGATGTGCTTTGATAGTAAGTCAGTCTTCTTGGCACATCTTGTCAAACACAGGTGGGACACAGCCTTGTCTCCTGGCTTGCTTGCTTCACACGTGCGGGCTCAGCGGTTTTGCTGACCCCAGGGCCTCCCCTCCGCTGCTTGGGAGTATCATCCACACACACAGTCACGTTCCCTTGCACTCTCTTGCGGAGGTGGCTTTTCCTGAGCTGGTGTTCGGTGAATCCTTGCTAGAAGAGCCCTGGCCTTCCACACACTGTGAATCTGCTCTTTCCATGCTGTGGTGGCCTACCTCCTGATCGATTTATTAACGTGCCTGTGGACAGACACTTACCTTTAGTGTTCTTTTCATTGCGATTTGGCTCAGAGTGGTTCACCCCATTATTATGTGACTAAGCAGTACATGGGGGCAAGTGATATAGGGGACAGCTTCAAAAAGTCAAGTTCCTCAGGTGCAATCAGCAGACTGCCATGGGTCACTGCTCTTCGGGACCACCAGGGCCCTGAAGAATGATTCATCACCCATCATTAGGCATAGGTCTTGTCAAAAGAAACTTCCTCCAGGGAAGTTCTCTGGAGGGTGGCTGCTGTTGGAGCCACAGGGCTAAGAGGTCAAAGCTGTGGGGTAGGACTTAATGTGGGAGCCCCTGGTTTTTTTCCCTGTGGCCGGGCTGTGCCTGGAGCCTCCAGGTGTAGATGGAAGCTTCTGGAAAGTCCCATGCTGAAGTGTGATTCTAAGCTCCCGCCATCTTGATGTTGGACTGGTAGCCTTTCCTTTTGGGAACAGCAACATTATCAAAATTGCATGAATGTGTCTTTCTGGTTTGCAAAGAAGCAGGAGAAGCCATCAGCTCTGAACTAAAATCTTGGCTTTTTTTTCCCCCCTTCTTCTCCTAGATTTGGAAGGCACTTCTGTGGAGGTAGTTTAATATCCCCAGAGTGGGTGCTGACTGCTGCTCACTGCTTGGAGAAGTACGTTGGGTAACTGATGTAAGGGCCCATCCTGAAGGCTTCCTCCCTCCTCCCCATCCCCTGCCTCCTCCCGCCTGTGGCAGGGATGCCGGTGCCCGGGAGTGGATATGCAGAAGCCTTCAGCAGAATTGCCAGGGCAATTGTGTGACAGTTCAGAAGTGTCTCTAGAAATACCCAGTGCAGGTGACTTTGTGGGCCTGGGTTGACAGCACTGCAGAGGGATTCACTGTGACAGACGTCGGTCCCCAATCCTTAACTGCCAGGTTCAGGAAAATTGTGAATTTTATTTCTTATCCCTCAGAAGTCACCAATTCCAGTAGTTGTGGGTCTTGGCAGACAACGTGATATTTATGGCAAAGATAGGGACCCAGTGAAGGGGCTGGACGGTAATTTGCTCCTGATGACACTGTCTTTTCTAGGTCTTCAAGGCCTTCCTCATACAAGGTCATCTTGGGCGCACACCAAGAAGTGAATCTTGAGCCACATGTTCAGGAAATAGAAGTGGCTAAACTGTTCCTGGAGCCCACAAGAGCAGATATCGCCTTGCTGAAGCTGAGCAGGTACGAGCTCACCTGTGGCTCCTGCCCGGAGCAGAGTGAGGACATTGTTTCATGCCTGGGTTTTATGAGCCCTCACTGTAGGGTGGGTGTCTATGTGGAGGTGCTGTCTATGTGGTGGAAGGCAAGATTTTGGGAAAAAGCATCAAACTTCATCAAAAAATCTGGACTCAGCCCTAATGCTACCACATGCCAGCCTTGATCCTGAAAAAGGAACCAGGATTCAGTTTCCTTAGGTAGAAAAAGAGTGAATTGAAATGCCAGGTGAACTGTGACCTCTAATATTCTCTCACTGTTCACCAGAGAGTGATTAAATGACTCCAGGCTGAGAGTCCCCTCTCAGCATACTTTTGAGAGAAACAAATGAGATTACATATTTCAAAGTACTTTAAAAAACCACAATGTGAAAAACAACAACAAAAACCATGCCCCAAACTCCATGAAAGCAAACGATACCTTTGCTGTCATCTCTGGTTGTATTTCTCCTGTTGAGGTGGTGTTCTAAGAAGATGACAGTGACAAATTTGCTTATGTCACAAAGTTAGGAATGTTGGGGAATAGGTCCCAGTGGAGGCAGCTCACAAGCAGATAGCTGTTTGAGAAATGCACATTTGGGCCTGATGGATTCCAGAGGACGAGGTGACGACACAGTGGCAAGGGTGGGCCAGTGGCACAAGGCTGTGGTCAGGAGCTGGGTGCTGCTGTTCTGGGTCTGGTCACAAACTCAGGAGACTTTTTTGGGTCTATCCACTGAGAGGTTGTGCTAAACACTGGGGTATTTGGACACTCTAGAAAGAAAAGAAGTGGGCTCCCTCGGCCCCCTACAATGCAGCTCACTCCCCTCTTGATCCCCAGCATTTTCCCCCAAACCCCCTAGCAAATACAAGTCTCCTCAGGTCCCCAGAGACTTCCCAAGGTGATCTGATGGCTTGAACAAACAATTTGGTAAATTTCAGATCCGGGAAGTGTTCTGTGATATTGTGGGCTGAGCCTTAGTGCCTCCCCTGCATTCTCCACGCCCCAGGGTCTAAGGTGTTTATTGGGCCCTGAGGAGACCTATGGAGTGAAATCCATGTGAGAGGCCTGCTCTATTCTGGTGCCTCCAGGAAAGTGTATCTGATTTGAAGTTTGGCAGCACTGAATGATGGTTCTTAGAAAAGGACATGTCACTTTTTTTTTTTAATTAAGGATTGAACCCAGGGGCACTCTGCCACTGAGATATACCCCCTGACCCTTTTTATTTTTATTTTGGGACAGGGTCTTGCTAAGTTGCTAAGGTTGTCCTCAAACTTGTGATCCTCTTGCCTTAGCCTCCTGAGTAGCTGGGATGACAGATGTGTGCCACTATGCCCTGCTATTTCCAATCTTTCCCCCTCTTGGACTTACTAAAGTAGAATCAGCTCTAAACATCAAAATTCTAATGTTTAAATGTCCCTAGGACTCCAATCCTCTTTCACCAGTGTCCAGCATTTTACTATATTCTTATAACCACAATGTTGGAACATTTATTGTCAAGGAAACTGAGGCTCCTAAATAGAGCACCTTGCTGGGGACACACGTGCTCTGGCTGTGGGGCAGCCTCATGAGTTGCTCCATCTAGATGATCCGCCCACTGACTGACGCCCTCCAAATTAATATGAAATTATACTTGGTGCGCCCTCCAAATTAATATGAAATTATACTTGGTGCAAAGTTCCAACTGTGCACAGGACACATGCAGAGTGAGGCTTGTCATCCCTACTCCCCAAGGTCACGGCCCCCAGCAGGTTCTCGAACAAAACTGAAGCTATTCAAATGAAATGGGACATTTGCTGAATTCATAGAAAATTTTAGGCAATGTGAGGACGAGAAGCTGCAGTCAGTGAAGTGAGGAAATACCAGCTCTGGGCGCTGGGGCTTCCAGGCAGGTGGCATCGTTGGTGGCGATGAGCTGGTAAATGCAGGGGCTCCCGCAGGGTGACCACGCATACCTTTGGATGTTTCTCTTTCACAGACCTGCCACCATCACTGACAAAGTGATCCCCATCTGCCTGCCATCCCCGAATTATGTGGTTGCTGACCGGACGGAGTGCTACATCACTGGCTGGGGAGAAACCCAAGGTGAGACGAATTCCAGGTCTGGTGTCGGATTGTCTTTGACCTACAGCCTTCATGACAAAATGAGCATTTGAAGAAAGTTGCACAAGTCCCTACCCCTGAATGGGTCCCGCCCCTGCCTACTTTTGCCTGAACCCTTACCTTACTGCCTCCCTAATCAGTTATCAAGGGACATAGGCAAGAGGAAGGAGACTGTCTCCTGGAGTCCCCAAACCCGTGACTGCAGTGTGAACATTGCTTCCCCAGGTGAGAAGGTGATGACACCACCCACAAATTCAGGGTATAGGTCATTTTTATATGAAGTTAGCCATACTGGGTTCCAAAACTTGGTGTAAAGCAATAACAACAAAAGTTGTGAATTAGTCTTCTTCCCAAATATCCATGTGTCTAATGTGGGTGGGAGGCTGTCGGGGAAGGGGCAGGCTGACAGATGGGAAGGAGAGAAAGCCCCCGGGGCCCAGGTCAGCATAGGTATGTGCTGAGGGGGCCTTCCTGTGGGATCTGGTGTCAGCCAGCACCTGTACTTCACTCTGGGGACCCCCTCCTCTCTTTACAAGTACCCCGATATTAAGGTGTTCATTAGGGTGGGCCCTGGCTGTGGGAACACCAGCACTGCTTGAGGGTCCCTGCCTCACTTTCTCAGAAGGGTTGGTGTGAGCACTGGCTTTGCAGGAGCTGGAGAGAAGTTAATTTGAAGAAAGATTTTTTGTGGATTTCAAAAAGAAGAGGGTGAAAACCAGACAAACGAACAAACACCCAGTCTAGTTCATTTCAAACTTGGTTTCCCCCTTTCTGTGCTTTCCTACTGTTTTTTGAAACCTCATCCCCTTGACCTCTCATTTCCCCCTCTGCACTTCTGAGTGGGAGGCATTGAGGCCAAGGAAAGCGAAAGTGGAAAATGAAGTGTCCATCTTGGGGGCATCAGGTATACCCAGGTGTTTTGCATTAAAAAAATTTCAAGGCAGGGCTGGAGCGCTTCGGATGCACAAGGCCCTGGGTGCAGTCCCAGCACTGAAACAAAAAAGTTACATGTTCTAAACTCCTGTGAGTTAGACACCATTGTTCCTGTTCTACAAGTAAGGAATCTGAGGCTCAGAGAAGGTACAGGATGTCACAGCAGAGAGCCTGCTCCCTGGGGTGAGCCCTGACCTGGAACCCTGGCTCCCACTCACCAGCTGTAGGTGAGAAAGTGCCCACTCCTTGATGGTGTCCTAGGCCACAAACCGGCTGCAGGGCTGCAGTGGGTGAAGCAGTGAGAAAGGGCACGTTCAGGCTCAGCCCTGCGTGAGGGGTGGCTCTTGTCAATGACATGGGGTTTGTATCCAACAGGGCTCTTTATTACAAGTGACAGAAAATCCAGCTCAAACTGTATTAAGAAAATAAAAACAGGGATTAATAGTAAGCTAAAGAAGGGCGGCTCCTGTGATATCCCAGGCCTCTGGCCCTTTCCAACCATGGTCCAGGTGCCATCTGGGCACACAGGTGACTCCCTTGTGCTATGGATACTGTGCTGCCTCTGGCTCTGCCAGGGAGGAGGGGAGGCCACTTTCCCCACAGCTCAAGCAACAGTCTGCCCAGCTTTGAAAACTCAGGCTTGATTTCTGTGCCCACTTCTGTCCAGGACTGTCCAGGACTATCCATCCTGGAGCTGAAGGCAGGACCCACTTGTGTCCGGCAGGGGAAAAAGGTAGATCCCTCAACAGCATTATGGAATGTAGGCTACAAAGCTGATCTGAAGCCAGAAAACCAACACATATCCCCTACAACATCTTGACTGATTAAATACAAACCTAAAACTCATGAGGATCTGGGAGTGAGCTGGCTCTACCATCTTCCATGTGACTTCAGGCAGTTATTTGACATCTTTAAGCCTCAGTTTCATGATCTGTACTACCCTGTAAGTTTATCCTGAGTACTAAAATTATGCACCATCACCATTAGCACCACCATCAGCATCAACCTCAGCAACCACTACCACCACCATCATTATCACCATCACTGCCATCATCATCATCAACACCACCATCACCATTACATCATCATAACCATCACCACCATCACCATCACATTATCATCACCACCATCACCATCATCATCACCACCATCACCATCATCACCATCACCATCATCATCACCACCATCACCATCATCACCATCACCATCACCATCACATTCAGCATCATTATCACCATCATCATCACCACCATCATTACTATCACCATCATCACCATCATCACCATCGCCATCACCATCACCATCACCATCATTATCACCATCATCATCACCACCATCACCATCAAAGCCAAGCAAGCCTTGAGGCCAAGGGGCTCTCCCAGGTCAACCTCCAACCTGCCATCCGGGGTGCCTTCAGGGATCTGTGTCTGGCTTTCCTTCTTGCCCCCTCCTCACAGCTCCACAAGGGTTTCTGTCCCCCATTACCCACAGCTTCCCAGCCCCCAGAAGTGCCTTCTCCAATTTGGCCACAGGAAGGCAGCACTTCCTCACAGACCCATCAACTTCCCGTCACACTGCCAAGGATTGTTCACTGGCTTCAGGACGTCTGTCGTGCTCAGAAAGCAGATATGACAGCAGTGACCCTTGGATAGCTTAACCTTTGGCCAAACCGTTTGAGAAGGAGGTCTGCCCAGAGCTACTCAGTTCGAGCCGCGCTCCCTGCCCACAGCTTTCTTCCTCTCAGGCCCCTCCTCCAAGGCAGCTCTGCCAGCCGGACCCTGGGACAGGCCTCTTGAGGGCTCCTGTGATCTCCAGACGGACTGCGAGTTTTCTGAACCCACATCGACCATCTAAGTTCAGTCACAGTCTTTGGGGAAGAGATAGTACGTCATTTCTGGGCTGTCCCATGCCAGCAAAGCAAAGATATGTTGCAAAACTTCGGTGAAAGCTGGGCTTGCAAAATTGGAAAACTGTATCATCTGTGAAAACACTGAGATGTCCCTGGGTGGGTCCATCTGGGAAAGCAGTATTTATTTCCTTTGGCAATTCTGCAAATGCTCTATTCAATTTGGCAAAGAAAAAATAACAGTTTTCACCAAAAGAAGAAATGCAACTAGTAAAACAAATGTATAGGAGAATGTTCCCTCTCCCTAACTGTTCAAGAAATGTGGATTAGAAAGTGAATCAGGACAACTGCCACCTATTATATTAGCTATCACTTTTTAAAGTTATAATATTTTAATAATATTATAATATGAATACTCACAGCACACGGCCACACAGACAAGAGACTCTTTGCGGCTGCTCTGACGTTCTGAAGTCTCCTCCTGAGCATGTGCTGGGTCCAGTAATGGTTTCTTTACTCTTTAAACACAGGGACCTCTGGTGCTGGTTTTCTCAAGGAGGCCCATCTGCCTGTGATCGAGAATAAGGTGTGCAATCGCTATGAGTATCTGAACGGCAGAGTCAAACCAACAGAGCTGTGTGCTGGGCATTTGGACGGTGGCACTGACAGCTGCCAGGTAAGAAAGGGTTATAGAGACCCAAGCTGGTCTTGGGCTGGCCTGTCTCAGTCCCTTAGACATTGCAGTATTTAAAGTTAAGAAGGAATCACAACCCAAGTGCCAGTCTCAATGTTGTCAAGAAACCCTCTGCTCAGACCCTGGATGTAGGTAGAACATCTGGGATAATTTCTCAGGCCTCGAGTTCCAGAAGGGCAGTCAGGGTATGTGTTCAGTACCGCAGCTGCCACAGGCCACAGGCCTCCCTGAGCTGTGCTGGTGGACGGGGTCTGGGGGAGGGAAAGGGTGGCCAGAAACCAGTTGTGCCACTTGACCACTGTGCTTAGGCTGGCTGGGCCTCAAAGAAGTCTCCAGGCAGCAGCATCCACAGGGATCATTTCCCAGGGAAAATGGAACAGGGTGGTTTTGCTGAATAGGATTCTCTAAGTACTTAAATGCTGCGGAGGTTCAAAGGATACGTCAATAAGTTTCTTCCTGGCTTCAAATCCTGGGGAAACTTACACACTGATGGTAGAAGGTGGCATCCTATAATCAAAGAAGTTTAATCTTCATATGGATTTTTCCCTCTCTCCATCTAGGGGGACAGTGGAGGGCCTCTGGTTTGCTTCGAGAAGGACAAATACATTTTGCAAGGAGTCACTTCTTGGGGCCTTGGGTGCGCTCGTCCCAATAAGCCAGGCGTCTACGTCCGCGTCTCAAGGTTCGTGAATTGGATTGAAGGAATAATGAGGAGTAACTGAATGGGAGATAGAGCGAAGCATCCACTTACCTAGAAGCTGGAACGTGGGTAAGGAATTCAGAGTGCTCAGAAATAATCGACAGTAATCAAACCGAGACACTGTACACAGCTGCTGCCGACCCTCAGCCCGTTTTGTACTATCGTGGATAAATTTTTCATGGACCTACTGGATTCTTTAATAATAAGGCAACACAGCTATGCCATTTGTTGAAAATAAACTCTGTACTTACTTTGTTTTGAGTTTTTTTTTTTGGTGGGTGGGGTGGAGATTTTCGATATTTTCTTTTTTTGAGTTTCGATATTTTCATGTTCTACATTCTTCTTACCAATTTCAAATGAACAAACTACAGTGAGTTAGCTTGTTTTCATAAGGAACCATTGCTTACAGGAGTAAGAGGCCTGTAGGATCGCAGAGAAGGGAGCCAAGAAGTCTGAGGAAGTCCCTCATACACTGACCCCATCCACTAACACTGGTCTGACGCTATCTTTAAAGTCTGTCCTTTGGCATTGGGCTGAATGTTCTCACAGCTGCCCCCTGTATGGGGAATCAGGAGAACAGGTTCTATTCCCAGCAATGAAATCTGTTATTGATGACTCGACTCTGGCCCAGCCCAGGGGACGCAGAGAGCTGTGTATCGTGGTGTGATCGGGCAATGGAAGAGTAATACAAGACCAGCCAAGAGTCTGCATGTTACTCTGGGTCACATCTAATTGTAGGGATGGTGTCAAGATCTTATAAAGGAACAAGAAACCCGTGTTGAAGGTGGGCTGCTTGTTTTCCATCACTGGTTAGCACGGTTTGGCATGTGCTTTTTATGCTTTCAGTGTTTTACAGCGACACGTGTTCCAAAGGAAGAGAAAGGATGGATTCTTGAAACAATTTAAAATTTTTTATTGTTGCCAAACAAAAATATCACCTCCAGATACAACTAGGTGGTGATGGTATCAAAAAGCAACAGCCATCTTACAGCAAAGAGGTGCCAAAAAAAATTAAAAGCACAAATGTCCATGAGCGCAGGGTGAATGTATTATCACGTTCTCATAAGGCTGTGCTGACATCATGGTTGAGTGTGAGCGTTCGTATTCAATTCTGATTGTGCTTTAAGGATTAAGGAGTTTATTCTGGAATCAGCACACATGTCTTACGTGCTATCACATGTGTGTATGTCCACACAGTGAAATGTTCTTCTTCATTGGCAAGGTTTCCCTTTGGTACCCATTTTACCCATGCGCACAAAGTTTCTCCTTAAAGAAATTTGGCATATGATATATACTGACTCTGAAAGTATAACAGATGTAGCACACAAAGCAGAACACTATGTTTCTTTTTTAAGTTCCTGGTTTCGAAAGTCTTGATAACAGAAAGGAAAGTTCAAATCCCTAATTAATAAGTATAAAGTCATTTATAAAAAGCTGCTGCTAATTCTTTTTAGCATGACCTTTCCTTTAATGAAAATGTAAGCTTTCCCCAGGACAAGCCCAGAGTGCCAAGGTGAAAGGAGAACTGTCTGTGGGTTCCACTCTCTACCACAGGCACCATCACAACTGAACCCACAGGTGCAACATAAATATCTCCTCACTTTTAGAACCCTAAGACCCAGGGACTCATAATCCACGGGTTTTGTTGAATAAAGATCAAATCTGTGGCTCCAGGTTCCACTAAAGGAGGACCAAAAATATCCTGAATAATCTCAGGACCCAAATCTGATTTTATAAATAATAGAGCCAAACCCCAAATTGTCCAGTGGATCTGTTCTTATTATGGAATGAGACCTAACTGTGCCTGGAACCTTAGATGCTGCAGAGGAGGTGGACAGGAGGGACGGCTGACTTGTCCATGCTGGGATGGCTTCCGGAACGTAAGTGAACAGAGACGGTGCAGGCTGGGCCCCGTGTGGCCCGAGTCCTCAGTCTAGTCTCTTCGTTGAGAGGATTCCCACATCCTCCTCCTCCCTGCTCTCAGAACACTCAGTTTGGTGCTACATCCCTTCGTGGGATTTCATGAACACATTTCTGTACAACTTTCCTAGATCCTTGGTTTGCACAGACTGCATTTGGTGTGTGTGGTACTAGGGATTTAACCCAGGGTGCTTTACCTCTGAGCTATGTCCCCAGCCCTGTTTTCCAATTTTATTTGGAGACAGAATCTCACTAAGTTGCTGAGGCTGGCCTTGAACGTGTGATCCTCCTGCCTCAGCCTCCCAAGTTGTTGGGATGGCAGTCCAGCTCATTCTGAATTTTTGATGGAGCTATTATAAGAATCCACGGTGGAGGCTTCTCTTGTTTCTCTTCAATAGTAAGAGTCAGGGACCGCTGCTCCAACATCAGGAAAAAATAAAAAACAAAATACTGCGTACCTAGCAGCTCTTGGCTAAATGGGCCACATATTACATGTTTCCAGAAACTTTGAAAGCATGATAAACCCCAACTCATCCAACATCATATAAAAAGACTTCGGATAGTTTGAACGTATTCATATGGCACTCAACACACTGGATCGTGCCACACCAAGGAGCTGAACACGCAGGTGCATCTCTAGAGGCATCTCCAGGAGGGTGGTCTTCTGACAGCTCCTTCCCGCGGGC